GTCGCGCAGGAAATCGTTTGAAATAGACATGAGGAAGGCTGTATTATAAGGGATCAGAATTTACGCCAGGCATCTCTTCGGGGGGGGGGGGGGGGGCTTGTATTTGAAACTGGTGGGGTTCGGTACCTTCAAAAATATTAAGAACAACTGCTTAAAAGTGTAGTTTCTATAAAGTGCAAGCTTAATTGTTCTACTTTATGAAGTATCTTTAGAACAAATTTAGAACAAATTCATTAATAGTATATTATAGTTTAAATTATCAGTATCTTCAATACAGTGATCCAGGTAAGATGTAATGCAACCAAGTAAAAGTATATGATTTGTTACGTTGAATATGAGAGAATCGTAAGGATCGCCCATAGAACTAGTCGGGTCTTTTCTTAACAAATCTCGCTAGTGAAATCGTACAATACAAGTTAATACAATAGGTTTCTATTCTAGTTGTTAAACGATTCATCTACTCACCGTTCCAGTGAAAATCACTCCCATTTAATTTTCCGAAATAGCGCTCCCACCCACCACATTTGTTTTTAATACAACTGGTTTCTCTTCTAAGGGTTAAAAACGTTATCTACTCACCATATCCTTGCGATTTTTGTTGGCGAAAAAGCGCCCCTCCCCCTCCCCACCATCTTGCACAAACCTGATAGAGCGAGTTCTAACGTCATTACATTTTTAAAAATGTTACATCATTATTTAATACGCTTTAGTACAATTGTTTTTGTTTCTAAATAAAAAAGGTTATCTTCTCAACAATACATTATAAATCCTTTCGCAATAGCGCCCCCACCCTTCCACTCTGGAAGGCGGTTTTTGCCTGTCACTCTTTCTTAAGGGTATATGTTTTACAATAACACAAACAAGTTAAAAAGCAGTTAAATCAGTACGTAAAATCTTGTAGTCATTAAATTTTAAACTTAGAATGTTTTTAATAAAAAGTCTTCAGTATGAGGGCGTCAGGAATCTCATATAATACACTAACAATACAATAAGGCTAGGTATAACAGTCTCTTTTATTTTTCTCAATCGCTTTTCCAGTTACACATCAGCCTATCTACTTTTACTCATACGTTCAACTGCGCTCATTGCCTACACACCTCTCTTCTTCCGCTCACAACACAATCGCTGTCACTCGACCAGTCGCTTTCCTTGTACCCTCGTTCACTCCATACATTATACGCGTCAAAAACACACGGCCCTGCGTATCTATCGATACAAGATACATACACACACGCAGTGATCCGTCCCGCGTATACACATTCATACACATTACTTCACCACATACAGCTTAAAATGAGCTTTTAAGTTATTTTCTACCTCTTTTTGTGCCTCCCCCCTACAAAAGGTGCCCCCCCCCCGCCCCCACCTTTCTAGCTACGCCTCAGGTTATTTTACTGGAAAAAAAGATTTTATACCTATATGGAATTCCATTTTATTAGCCCTACCAAAGCGGTAGGCTACACAAGTTGTCTTTATTTTAGAACTCGGAATTGGAGTATATTGACATTTACAGATATTTGAAATCAATCGAAATTGTAACGAAATCAAACTATACTTTATTTTACTATGTGTAATATCGTCTACCTCATTGAAAAAGTACTAATCTTATCGTGTTCCAATGGAAATGAAGTAAGGTATTAGTTTCGATTACCGGAAATAGTTTAAATGTTGATTGAAACCAGCTATATTCTTATACTTATCTAGGAAATACATTTATGAGGTTTTGAAAAGTACAAATTGGGGTTTTTGGAATTGCTCATTAATTGATAGGGAATTACTTACACATGCTATTTCGTCAACTTAACATAAACGGTAATCATGTTATCTTGTTCTCATACATTTTTCTCATTAAGAAAAATCGCGCTTTTCATGTCTTGCAAGATTACAAGACATTAATGTGTAAAACTGCGAGAAGTTCCTACACTCCTTTTGATGTTTCGCACGATTATTTATGCGATAAAGTAAAAGAAGAGATTAGCAACTTGGCAGCTTTGTTAACATACAAGTATGTAGAGAGACCGAATTAAAAATAATGATAGATAAAAAGGTATGAGTTTTTACTAAACAAAAATTTGCGATCTTCGACGCGTTAATAAATTGTAGTATATTTGTTTCCGAAAAATTAATACAATTATAATTATCGAGTCAAAAAACATTAAGTCTTGCCCAGTAGAAATATTTAGCATTCATGTTTCTTTCAAGTGTTTTACTTGTACTTAGTTTTACTTTGGACCATGCAATTCAAATGGCAGGTAAAATAGTGTTTGTTTCGGTGTCATTGGCATATGAGATATAATATTATATTTCACATGCTTAGCCACCATTGATTTCACTAACGTAAGATGTGTAGGCCTACCAATCGCGAATTAGTTTGACTTGAGACATTCTACTGATAGTCCAGGATCTGAACATAAGACTTTCGTGATAGCATTAGTGCGTTTTTTTTTACAATTAACATTAGCCTACTTTTCAGCAAATAGCCTACACATATTGATTCGTAGAATTTAAAAAATACTTAAAACTTAAACTAATATGTTATATCATGAGATAAGAATTGTTTACTTCTCTAATCTCGCACCGATTAATGAACACACAGAAATTAGATTTCAATATAAAAGCAGAAGACATGCATTTTTAAACCTTAAACCTATTTTCATGCGACATGAAATATATAATATAATACCTATTTTCATGTACCTGGATACTTGTGTTCACGAAGTGTTTGGAATAAAGTCATAAGTTTATCGATATAATTTGCACGAATGACAGTGTCTATCATTTTCAAAGCTTTTTGGTAGATAAAAAACGGCAATTGTCCAAACGCTTCCAAGCTAGTATATTCCGCCATTATTTCTGTTGTATATTCCAGTAATTCATCTAGGGTTGGTGCCTGTAAAATTAGAAACATATTGCATCAACAAAAATTGATTTAATAAGTGTAAACTTAACAAAATTAAAGAATAACACTTGCAATAGAAGTATCATAACAAGTTTTCGTCGACTTAATAGAGTAACCCATAGAGATATTGAACATTTAGAATAACATTATTTGAGATTTATTAAGTGTATGTTGACTGTACCGGTTGGTTAATTATGGCTTTTATGATTGTCAATTTAGATTAAAGATTTACATGCTTGACACCAATTCGTACACTAACGCACCTTTATGAAATAAACCAGGAGTAATCTACTCTAAACATTATTAAAAAATCTTATATAACACTACCGGGGATGGCTACTTGGGATATAGACGTGATTTTAAATCAAGTTTTAATTAATTAATTTTAAAATAGATTGAAATCTCGTAGTAAAATAGAATTGCGCACAAAGTGAATGGCAAAAACTAAGTGTATAATTGTGCGGAATATTATTAGTCAATATATATATATATATATATATATATATATATATATATATATATATATATATATATATATATATATATATATACATATATGTGTGTGTGTCTTTTTTTATGCATTACTACACCTGTTATCACATCGCCATGAAACTTTCGAAAGTTGTTCAGAATATTCCTGGGGAAAAACTTCTAATTCGCTGGGGTGGCGCCCCGGTAGGGCGCGTTTTTTTTTCTCTACATACGGTATATGCAAATACATGTCGAATGCGGTTTCACGCCGTTCATCCGATGACCATCAACTTTTGGGGAGTTGATTAGAATACTCCAGGAAAGGGTTCTGCAAAAAATAAATCTTTTTTTTTTTTATTTCGTGAGGGCGGTAATATAAAATTAATAAAAGTTTAGATTATGAACACTGGGTTGTTTTCTTTTTGTCCGCAAAATATCCAAACAATTCCAAAGCCTACAATTCTCAAAATAATGAAAATATTGTCATAAAAAATCAAGTTTAGGAGGGTAATTAAATTAAAAATTAAAGTCACACTTCTAGAAATTATTTTGTAACCTTGTAACGCGAATAAATCCTTCTGTGCAGTGTCGTCACTTTGCGAATAATGAAATTAGCATCTATTTTTAAACGATCCAATCAGAATACACCATTAGCCGATCAATAATACACCATTAGTAACTCTAACAAATTGCTTCAGTCACACTGATGCTTATAACACGTCAAACAATTTTTTTTACGTGTTTAAGAAGAAATTCCTGTTGATTTGTGTCACTTTTGCGGCAAATGTGCGGTAGTGTAATCGGAGGCTCTCGAGAGTGCCCCTCTACGTCCCTGACACGTGAGCTGTGACCGAAGTCTAACTCATTATTTCGGTGAGTACACTCAAGGTTTTCATGCGGTAGTTTAGGTAAACCCGTGTCCCGATATTTATGATCCAAGTGCAGGCATTGTTTACATTTAAATAACTCACTTTTAGAAAACAAGGTCACACGTCTAAGAACATTGGATTGGTAACGCATTCATGAAACCCTTCTTATATATTTCGCCATACTTTCTTCTATTCCGGCGGCAACGGGATATATATATATATATATATATATATATATATATATATATATATAGATTAGTAGGTTAGGTGGCAGAATTTTAGTATAGGCGCTTATGAGGAAGTATCGAAAAGTATAGAAGCATGCTTCTTTGACTTTCAATTTTTAAAACCATCCTAAAGACCTTATCGTTAAAGTTTCATGCATTTAACGTACATCAAAATGAGGGTAATTAAATCCTTTATCGATTGGTATTAGTTTTTACGTATGACAATTTATACGGACAATAAACTTAAAAAAAAAAAACTAAAACTCATTACGGCCGACAAGTTGATTTTTTCGATTATTTCCCTTGGTTTAAATTCAGCAGTAGAAACAATACTTCGCTACGCGCTCAAAAAACAACGCGGCTATATAGGCAAAAGGTTTCTCTTTTCGGCAGACCATGCTTGTTTAATATTTTAAATGAAGATTTAATGTGAACAAGCATACACACATACGGTATTTTAAAGACCCTAGATGAACTTAAATAATTTTAGTGCATCATTTAAATTAACTCTAGCCAAATAAAATAATAAAATACAAATTACAACTTCTTAAAAGCTAGAGAACTAAAATAAGTAACAAGTAAATATGCGGAGCCTATGTCTTTCGCTTACAATTAAGGTCAAGTTTGATTGACTTGTTTCTTAAGAACTCATTGTACAAGAAAGTAAACAGTAAACCATTTAGGCCAAACAATTAACTCAATCAGTCGAACCATGACGAATATTCGCTACACGGGGGTGGGGAATTGTGAGAAAGTAGATGTTTTGTAATCCGATATGTGCTTAGCCAGGTCTTTTGACCAAAACATTTTATTACCCGGATCTGTCCTTAACTCAAGCGTGTAACCTGGTGAAGCGTATCAGACGAATGTTATGTAATGTCAGAGACAACCATCTAGCCAGATGTCTCTGGGCGTAAAAGGTGCGAACGTGATGCGTGGGCGTTTTTTCCGAACATGGGGAAATAATTCTATCATGTCTTTCGGTCAGAATTTAAGCTCCACCCATAACAAGAAAAAACGGACTATTCATTGGTTTTGAATATCACCAATCGTGCTTTCGGTTTAAAGATAGGCTACATTATAGTGACCAATACTAAAAAAATTATAGCACGTGACTATGTTGGGCCCTGTTTTCCGAACACTTTTCGTGACAATTTATATTATTGCTGTGATGAATGTTAGTGCTCTAAAGCAGGGGTCTCCAAACTACGGCCCGCGGGCCGGATGCGGCCCGCGAGGTCCTCTCGTCCGGCCCGCGTAGATAATTTTTGTCCACGGACAAAAACGTTTGTTGAAGTTGGCTGAGGAACTTGCTCAGAAAGTCACGATATGCCTGGAAGAAACTGGCCCCCGAACTGAAATTAGATAGTTAATGTGGCCCTCGGACTGAAAAGTTTGGAGACCCCTGCTCTAAAGGAATATTATTTGGACTCATCATCTTTTCCGTTCGTTTTCAAGACACATGGGGCATACTAAGTTACGCATCTTGGCTATTTCTTTCAATGTACATGAGTAAAAAAAATTCGGACTCATCATCATCTTTTCCGTTTGTGTTTGTGTTTAAGACACATTGGACATACTAAATACTACATCTGTTTTAATTACCTCGGGATACAAGAGGATAAAATGGCCCGTATTACTCGCAGCCGCCTTGATTTCTACACCCTTTTGGTAAGTAAAGCTTTAAATAGATTTTGAAAAATATAGTCGCATGTGTATAGAAGCGGTCTTTTGTGTAGATTATATTAAAATTCTACATTTTAAAATATCACCCTATGATGTTAGCCTCAAAGTCACCCCACCTAAATTTTGCATATATTGCGATAAACGTCCAAACTATCATCGTTCTTCATCCCATCCCCTTTAATCACGCATGAATATGACATAACTTTTTACACCTATGTAAAACAAAATAACCTCCTGATGTATAAATAGGCATTGCCATGTGCTCAAACAAATTATAAGAAAACAAGTATCATTGGTACCTATATAATCAAACATACTCTTTTATATACTACATTATCGCACTATATTTTAAGCGCTAAACTTTAATTAATGTGGGTTCTTTAAACTCATTTAATTTTTTTTTTTAAAAGTTTGATGTTTTATATATACGGAAATAATTTAATACAGTTAAATGCGCACGACTTCGAGACTTTCCCGCACCCCCACGCATACTTATCGCATTTATCTAACCTACATGTAATAGATATATGGAAATAATTTAATACAGTAAAGATTATAATAAAAACACACAACTACGTGACTTTTCCCTCACCCCCTCCCGCATACTTATCGCATTATGTGCACAACTCAACCCTACCCACACCATCACCTACATTTTAAGTACACACATTGTTTCGTCAACTCTGAATGCAATGTTTACAACTTTTTTACAATTTTTTTTACTTTATGTATTAGACTTACTGAAATTTAAAACAGTTAATTTTATAATAAAAACACACAACTACGTGACTTTTTCCTCACCCCCCCCCCCTAGCATACTAACTGCATTACGTGCACAAATCACCCCTATCCACACCATTAATATTTTAAGTACAACGTTCTTCAATCAACACTGAGAGTAATATTTACAATTTTTTTTTACATTTTTTAATGTCGTAAAGCTATAAAAAGCTATATAATATCAGGATCGCGTAAGTTAGGAAGGTTTTCTATAATACATATATGTAACGAAGTATAAAAGTGCCAAATATCTATACCAGACAAGGTTGCAAAGTATTTCATCATATAGCTTGTATACTTCCCCGCGATTGTTCCCTTAGAGAACTTATCTGCCTCACTCCGACATGTTACAACGTCTTACTCCCTAACTTACTAATGTATATATAAATAAATAAATAAATAAATAAATAAATAAATAAATAAATAAATAAATAAATAAATAAATAAATAAATAAATAAATAAATAAATAAATAAATAAATAAATAAATAAATAAATAAATAAATAAATAAATAAATAAATAAATAAATAAATAAATAAATAAATAAATAAATAAATAAATAAATAAATAAATAAATAAATAAATAAATAAATAAATAAATAAATAAATAAATAAATAAATAAATAAATAAATAAATAAATAAATAAATAAATAAATAAATAAATAAATAAATAAATAAATAAATAAATAAATAAATAAATAAATAAATAAATAAATAAATAAATAAATAAATAAATAAATAAAAAAAATAAAAAAAAATATATATATATATATATATATATATATATATATATATATATATATATATATATATATATACACTTTTTTAAAGGGGAAGGTGACACCATTAAGTGTCGCACCTCGCTACGCCACTGCCCTACACAATGGACACGGTGACACACGACAATGATTAAACCGAGCCGTGAGCGCCCCTCAACGTCCCTCACACCTGGGCGGT